CGCTCCTGAATTAACGTCGGCCCTCGAGGAGCTCGTAAATCTGACGATATCTCGCACCGAGGATTACGACAAGGTTATTAGAATTCTGAGGGCACTGATATCCCTGTTTCAACAGCAAGACGAGAGGTATGGTTATCTACAGCTTCGCAATAATAGTCTGAATCGTCATACCTTTTTAGCATCTTAAGGATAGATTTGTCCTCCATTATTGCAACTTTCGTTGAACAAACAAGTTCTATCGACGACTTGTGCGGCCAACCTCTCCATCCGTGGTTAAGGCTAACGTCGACTAGACAGGGAGATTGGCCAACGTTCCTGAAGAACTTCGTGGCGAGCGTTCAAGATGTCACTGGTAGTCCCGGCGAATTGTGGGACGCAGAGGATGACACTAGAGTGGCCCTTCGCAACGAAGCTTGAGACTCTACAAGGACAAGTTGAGCACTTGACGGCCGAGGTGCGACTTGAATCTGCATTAAAGGAACCCCATTTAGTTGACGATACCCAAAGACCTTGCAATTACGAGAAGTTCTCAGTCAACAGAAGGCAGAGCTTACTACTCTCAAGGCAATAACCGCGAGCGCGCCGGTTTCCGCGTCAAGAGGTTTGGGCAAGGGTGGTCCAGAGGTACATCATGTTTATACCAACGTTTCTTTGTATTAATCATCTCGATAGAGTTTCCATGGATTAGTTCAGCGCCTAGTCCTGAAGGAAAAGCAGGTCACACAGCTACAATCCGAACTCGATAATTTGAAGTCTTCGAATCCCGTTGAGACTCGCGAAATTGTGTGTTTTTTCGCATAAAATTGTGTGTTAAAACTAAAGTTGGCGCAAACGCCCCGCCTCATGAAACAGGACGAACGAGCTAGGCGTGAGCGCGAGAAAATCAAGTGGGCTAGTGTCATGGACGAGATAGCAAATCATAAGACCCGCGTCCGTTCACCCATTCATGAGTTGCATCTCCGCCCATTAACGACCATGTTCACAGATAGCGGATTTGGAAAGCACTAATGTACAGAAAGAGAAGGAGCTGCTTTACTTTGAAGCGGGCTCTTGAGTCTGTGTATTCTCGATTCCGGTCACGAGAGGAATCCAAGGAGGCAGACACTGACGTCGACGCCGCATTACTCGCGGAGCGAGCGATCGAAAACATGTCTCAAATGGAGAAGATGATCGCTACACTCAAGACAGAGATAGCTAACTTGACAGTCCAGCTGGCTGCCAAACCGAAGTTCATCACTGAGAAGGATTTCAAAGTGCGGGTCGCCCCTCCGCCTCCTCCCTCACCACGGGCGGCGAACACCAAACCTAAAGATACTGCCCAGCTTCAGGGGGCATCCCTGCTGCCGTCGCCGCCTCGGGAACCACAATTGCCACTTGAACCGCTAATACGTACACTCTCACAACCTTCTTCACCCCCACCCCCGCCTCCGCCTCCACCCCCGCCGCCGCCACCGCCTCCACCCCCGCCGCCGCCACCGCCTCCACCGCCACCGCCTCCACCACCACCACCTCCGCCTACCTCCTCTCGTACACCGACGGAAACCTCCTTTCCTCTCCTCCACCTCCACCACCACCACCACCACCACCCCCACCTCCTGTCACTAATGGCTCAGGAATTCCGCCGCCGCCACCGCCACCACCACCACCACCCTTACCTACGTTTGGCGGCGGCTCCGTGCCTCCGCCTCCCCCACCTCGTTTCGAGAATTCACGCAGAGCGGAACCAGCAAAGCGGCTGCGACCCTTCTTTTGGAACAAGTTACAGTCTACCGCACTGGCAACCTCCATATGGAATGACGTCCCTTCCGATACCCAATTCTCCCTAGACGACCTAGAATCAACGTTCTCTCTTGACAGTATTGTGAACCCGCCGTCGCAACGAGCAAACACCACGAGAAAGGCGTCTGTAACGACTCTATTAGACATAACACGAGCTAACAATATCGGCAAGTAGTTCACCCCCTTTGTAGTGTCCTTGCTCACCTCTCTGTAGCCATCATGCTCTCAAGGATAAAGCTTACTCCGACGGATATTCACAAAGCACTTTTAGAGGTTGACGATAAAACGCTCTCAGTGGATGATCTAAAAGCAATGGAGAGACAGTTGCCCACTACAGAAGAGATCACCAGGCTCAAGGCTTTCGAGGATGTCAGTAAACTTGCGAAGGCAGACCAGTATTTTTTTCAGGTGGGCTTCAATCCTTATGGCTAGTGCAGGCTATAATTCGCCACTTAGATCATGGATATCCCAAGGATCGCAGACCGTCTAAAATGCATGGTTTACAGACGGAGGCTGGAACTGGACGTTGAAGAGATACGACCGGAACTAGATATTCTCCATAGCGCATCACGGGAACTCAAAGCGTCGCAGAAATTCAAGCGCGTCCTTCAGGTACGTTCTACCTAACCGACTCGAACGATATTGACGTCCTCTAGGCCGTGCTCACGGTAGGCAATGCCCTCAACGGTTCCAGCTTTCGCGGCGGAGCCCGCGGCTTCAGGTTGGAAGCTCTCTTGAAGGTCACTACGGCATTCCACTTCTCACTTTCCTTCTGCATGCTTAATGCCACTAAATGATAGTTACGCGAGACGAAGTCCGTGAAGGGAGGCGCCGAATGCCCGACGTTATTGCATTATGTGGCCCGGGTTCTTTTGCGTAGGGACCCAACTCTCGTGACTTTCCTTGAGGATATGCCCCACATAGAAGCGGCTGCGCGAGGTAAGCCTCCCCCAAATGGGGTCGACTCGTCTGATCGCCATACAGTGTCCGTCTCGGGGTTAATGACCTCCATCTCCACTCTTGTCAGTGGTCTAGACCTCCTTCAAGTTGAACTGAGGAAAGCTAAGGGGGTTAGGGTATTGCCCGCCCGTGATCGATTCATCGACGTTATGGAGGTAAGGTTATCGGTACCAACACTATCCCCTTCAGCATCACTGGCTGACGGTTCTGCAAGCCATTTATACTGAAAGAGCGGGTGACCATTGATGCGGTATCTAAGCTTGGATCTGCACTCGATGCGGATCTTAAGAACCTACTTGTGTATTATGGGGAGACCCCCGACTCGCCAGACTCACCGAAGCCAGAAGACTTCTTTGCGTTGATATTGACATTTTCTTCCTCTTTGCAGGTAATGCACCTCTCTTTTCTGGTCCTGGCTAGGTGATTGAGAACCGTGTTGCGCAGAAAGCGGCACTAGAAGTTCATGATACAGAAGAGAAGGTGCAAAGCCCCACTGCTCTGATCGTAACTCCCCCGGAGACCGAGCAGCCTAAACCGGAGCTGGTCTGTATTTTGTTTTTGACACCGAATGCAGGAGCGTTGACAGGATATGATAGACTCTCAAAGTATCCCATGATGTCCAGATGTTGGCCCCTCCAAGCTCGCAGGGCCGGGCTACAGGGACCATGAAGACGATAGAGCACGGCGCCCTTGACCTAACCATCCGCACTATGCGTGATGGCAAGCGCAGGGCTCGTCCGGAACGACGCCCACTCAGTAAGATGTTCATTGACGGAGCAAGAGGTTGAAGCAAACTATAGGGTTGGATTAATGATGACTTACTCAATATACACGCTCACTCATGGACACCAATATACATTCATTTCTTGTATTACATACCCGACGATGTATTCTCCATAATCTAGTTTATGCGCTAGCGATTTAGCGGCGAAACCTTATCACAATTTGCAACACAATCGAAAAACAGCTCGAAAAATGCAGCGATCTGGGTAAGAGAGGTTGTCAATACTCAAGAAACGCGAAAGGGACGGGACAACGCGTACATCAAGATCGGTTGCAACTTCACAGTTCTTGCCCGCCCTTCCCCAAGTGTCGTCCCCCTTCAGATATTCCCAGACATCTGCCACAGTTTGCCCTGCGGTGTGAACCCCGCTCAATTCTACGTCCACCCTGTACCGTCGTCTGGTGAACAAATCCGGCCGACAGACGTAAGCTATGGTCAGCGCGTCATGGAGGGGCGGCCCGTCCGAAAAGCCAAAAGTTGATTTGTATGTCTCCCTGAAGAAGGAAATGAGTGTCGAGAGCGTATGGCGGAGTCGGCTGCTGGGCAGCCTGAGCGGAGCTTCGTCGGTCGTGGACGTCGGGTTAATCAGATTGGCATGGAGGAAGTCGGTCACGATGGCTTTGTGAGTGACGTTGAGGGGTATCATCGCTTTCGGTATCGGGGCATCTAAAACGATCTGAGCTGCTTCGGCTGCAGCCAAGCCAACGCAAGATCAGGCATGAGGCAGGCAGGGGTGATCCGAAAACCTACGATCGCACAAGATATTAAATTCTGCCTCAGAAATAGTCAGATGAGACGAACGACTTGCAAAAAAAAAAAAAAGTAGACGAACCTGCTACCGCAGAACGATTGCCGACGCCGATCCCACCGCCCATAAAGACGATCCGCTCGATGGCATCGAAGAGGTCTGTGTACACACTCACGAAAAGAGCGATGTTCGTCAGAGGCCCGGACGCGACGAGGGTGACTTTGGCACCCGCGCCACCGTTCCACGTCTGCCTGATCGCACTCGCAATGGCTTCGATGGCTGGGCGGCTCTCGATGCGCTCTCGCACGCTACCCGACTCAACCGACGGAAGTCCCTCCACGCCACCTAGCCCGTCGGGACCATGGATCTCGGGATCGTGTCGCGCAGGCCGTAGGAGCGGCCGTGTTGCGCCACCGTAGACCTTGACAGATTCCGGGGCTGCAAATGCGTACAAGCACCGGGATGCGTTGATCTTGGTATTGTCAGCAGTAGCATTCCCATGCACCTTGCAGACGACTTAGCGGGAGTTGCGCAGGATGTAGGACGAGCGGCGTACAGTGGAGACGCCAGAGAAGGTGAATATTGGGGCAGTGGATCGCCAATAGGATGGCAGTGGCATCGTCATGTCCCTGGTGTTTGTAATATAAGCCGAAGGAGCATGAAAACCAGCTCTCAAAAGTCCACACCGGATCACAATCAAGCCAGACGTAGTTCATCGAGTAAAAGAAACGTTACCTGAGCGATTCGAACACTCGCGGGCAAAGCCCAACCGCTGAATGCAAGCAAAGTCATATGACTCTAGCAGGCGATCCCGTTAACCACTCCGGCAAGGTAACATCGATGTGGCGTTGGTCTGGTGAATGATTTACGTTACGCGAATAATGTGCACAAGTTGTTTACAATGGTGTACAAACATGCGACTCATGCCCGGATCTTACACCCTGGTTCATCTCGACTCAGATCCCCCTCGTGGAGCTACCCCCCCTAGTGTCTAAAGCACTTCCCTTCGAATCATTCTTGCTGCCCCGACTTTTCGGAAGCAAGATTTTCACTTGCTTCGACCTTGCCCTTCTCCAAGATCTGCTGAATGACATCATCGTCAACGTGTGTGTTAAACACGGTGTCCAATTGCTGCTTTGAGGGACGACATAGGAGACCTTGCGGTCCTTGGTTTGATGAGAAAATTTCGAACGCTGAAGTTAATCCGATGAGGCAGGCATACGGCGACTGAACGATCAAAGATTACATACAATCGACCACCTGAACCAGAGGGATGGCCCTGAAGGAGTGTTTTTGTCAACCTCTACATGAAAAGAACCGGGGTCCAAGGGGATATACCTGTCTGAGAGTAGCAATTTCAGTAATCTAGTCGGTCGATGATGAAGCGCAAGAATAATCACCTCCACCCTTCCATTTCTTGTACTGACGTGATATGAGTATAACTCTCCGTAGCCCCAGCACTTATACGCACCTCTACAGGATTGACGAGGACAAGAAAGACGTCAGATGCGTTGGGGTCTGGTTTGTAGACGACCTTGGTGGCTGATTTTCCCATGGTAAGTTAGAGACAGACGGTCACACTACAGTCCCTCTTATATCGATGCGGAGAAGCGGTGACGTCACGGGTTTCATTGTGATCTCAATTGAATTGGGCCGGGCCAGGAGTCGGTCTTTCGCCGAATCGCCGAATCTGCAGCAACTTTGACGTAAGACGCGCAGCCTGAACCAAGGGCAAGCAGTGCACACTCGATGTGGAGTGCAACACTCTCCGTCATCGGATGATTAACGGGGGTATCGAACCGACAAGCCATGATGTCATCGGTGCCACATACTAACCACCAACGAATCGAATTCAACTGTGGAGGGGACGGGTTTTTTTTTGGCCGGTAAACTCCTGATCAAACAAAATATTTTCATGACGTCCTCGTCGCTTTCAATGCAGTCACTCAAAGTCCCAATAACGAGCCGCCCCCGCCCAGTCAATCTCCCTTCCCCGGCCGTCTCGTCGTGGGACAGAACCGGACGTTCCGGTCAGCGCTACCAAGGATGGCCTACAAGATAATTATCGATCGGGAAGTCACGTCAGCAGATCCTCCAGGTGTCTGTGGAACGAACGAACCTTCCATGTGCACATTGAAACGGAAACGCCGTTTCCGCGAGTTGAGACATCAGTCTTTCACACTGATCGATCGATAAAACATCGTTGAACATGATGGCACCTTGACGACGTCAGGTGGGTCGCTTCATATATAAATGAACGAACGAAACCTCGGCATGCCCTCGAGTTGACGAGATCAAGTAAACCCTTGGGACACCAACGAAGTGCCTTGTGCCATGTGGGGCTATCTTGATCGATCTCCTGTCCCTCAGATCCTAAGGCTGGAAGTACATCATCCGTTCCCGACTGTTCCGTGTGTTCTCTAAGGAAATTCCGCAGCTCGTCTCCCGTGAGAAGCTAGTCGTAAAAGAATGAGTACCGTTCGGATGCGAAGACGATATGGCGCACCTTCTCGCTCACCACTTGTGGCACGCTGTGCACTAGAACTTGTTCATATACCTCCCGATCGGTGTTTTGATCACGGTCCTCGGTTTCCGGCCAACTCAGGCCAAAGCCCCATCTTCCCAATATCAGCGTACTGCTGCGCAGTATAGACGTCTCCCTTCTGCTGAGAAGAACCGGGCGTGGAGGTTCTAATGTGACGCGGAACGTACTCTGGCCCCCGTCCCGTCCGGCATCGAGGAAGTGGTGACATAGGTCCTTCAGGTACCCCTCCACGCGGACCCGTTCAGAGGCAGCGTGCTGATCGACGAGAACTAGCATGTGCATTGCGCAGTCAGGCGTTTGGCTCTTCTCGTTACTCTCACCGATTGCGTCAACAACACAAACAATGAATTTCCTGTCCAGCTGGCTTATCACCTTCATGCGTGAGATATCGCTCCTTTGAAGGGACCACGTCGAGGTTTCGTCCAGGGTGGAGAAGGAACCATCGAATAAGCGACGAGGTCGCGTAGCGTACGCTTCATCCGTGACATATTCGGAAGGGAAATCGGATTGGAGCTGTTGTCGGGGAATGGAAGGTATTGGTCGCTCCTCGACAAAATATGCGGAGTTGTCCTTCCGTGTCGTTAGTGAGTTCCAAGTGACTACGTACAAGACCTACCTTTAAAGCATCAACTATCCACAGTGGAGCTTCGCCTTTATCGTCCGTGGAGGTAACGGCAGTAAGTGATATTCGTGAGAGCTTCACCATAGCTTGTGATGCATCTTCATCTTCATCTTCGTCTCGACTTAGCAATGTGCGGGGACACGGACGTCGAGTGCTCGTCTCAGCAATAAACATGGGATTGGGATCCATCCAGGTCTCGTTCACCTCATCGCTGCCATTGTCCTGATAAACAACGACATTAGAAACAAAGAAAACCAGAAACACCGAGACTACGAACGGGGTCGAAGTGCGGCGATGACAAGTTTCTTGCTCCACGGACCGTGAGCGATGCATTAGATGGCACTTCGGCTACAGAAGAAGACAGCTGTCTCGAAACTGTGACACTGGCCCCGTCCCAAGATGAATCCGGACTGATAATCTTTCGTCTCTTCTGTGGTGTAGACATGCCTTCAGCGCTAAGGAATTTATGACGACGCAGGAACGCGTTGGTAGCAGAGTCAACAAAAGCCATGACGTCGTTCTCGTTCTAAACTACGGCTTAGCCAGAAGCAGATTCGCCTCAAATGTGCTCACGGAAACATGTATCAATGACTTTCCCGGTTCCAAACAGTTATCGATATCCTTCGGTGGTATCGTCAGGCTAAGCGCATATATGGGTTTTCGGTCGAGTTTGTGAGGAGATCGCCGAGAACCTGCAAAGAACGTCTAGTCGTGGTCTAGTATGAAACGGGTGGACTGACGTTGACGAGAGTGATCGGTAGCATCAGTACTTGAAACCTATATGTTAGCAGTCATGAAGGTGTCTCGCTAGAGGTACATTGCGCACGTACCCGCCTCGAGAAACTGCTATATGTGAATGCATGATTGATGTTGCGGTGCAGGTGATGAGACGGAGAAAGTGGGTGGCGGTTGATATCTGTCCGAAAGATCAAAAAGAATTGCGAATGTCGAACAGTGAAATTCACAAATGTATTGGTGAGCCTACTTGTGATTTCGTCAGCTCAAATCGGCGTCCAGACGCAGACCACATTACTTTCGTGAGCGCTCCTCTGAGGCTAATGAAGCCTTCAAGCTTCATTGCGCCAGAAGACATGGATATCTCATCTACTTCCTGAGTAAAAGTCAGTGACAGCAAATTGGACCATGAAGATGCAGACACACATCAGCGAGGCTTCTACCATTGATGTGACGAAATGCAGAAAGAATGGTCGATGTCTGACAGTTCCGTTATGAGCAAGGAGGAGCATATGAAGACGATCTCCAAAAACCTTTGGTATATTCAGTACTCGGTCGCTAAGAGCAACATCTGACGGTCGTCGAATGGCGCTAAGGGTGAATGACACCCGAGGAAATACCAATGCCAAGGTTTCTATGTCTCGACAAACTAACTCCATCGTCTTTGATGGGCGAGGATGAGAGTTGCGTCGAATTGGCAACTACAGAGGTGAGGGTGACATCTCGCTAGAAGAGTCTCATATTTTACATACGTTATGAAAGACGTCTCGAAGATATACGACCGTCCCTGGGCGCTCCATTCGCCAACGGGCAGCTGGCCCATTGAAGAGACATTGTCCGTTCTTTCAACATCTCAAAAAGTGTCGGGTGAATAACACAAAGTGTGTGCACCTTCGTTATTATAGACCATGTTTGCTGGGAGAGGGTCGTCCGGGATGAGATTTCCAAGCATGAAACATCAGCTGCTGATGACAGAGCTGGGCAACTTTCACTGAATATATCCGAGAGAATCGAAAGCGCATGCCACTACCTTCACCTCGGAATCCAAATGTGCAAACATCGTCCAAGGAGCTCAAGTTGTAGGCTTTGGACGTATCTGCTCGAAGCCAGATCGGGATGGGGCGTGTGAGCGGTTGGGGAGGGACATACTATACCTCCCAGCTTCATAACTTTTCGAAAGTAGTTCGAGGCCACTTTTCGAGATGCCGTGGCCATTGTCCTTGACCCAGCATTCCCATTCCTGACAGTCGACCCCGACGTCAATGTGGGATGCGGAAGCGTCAAGGGCATTTTGCACGAGCTCGGAGACAACTTGCGGTAACGAGGTTAGAATTTGGGAAGAGCGTAGTCTAGTACGGACTGGCTCTGCAAGTGTATGCAATACCTCAGGCCTGGGGGAAGTCATGAGCGCGTGAGGAGTGTTATGTAACCCATTGGCTTTCGTCGGTGTCACCAACCCAACCATGGTGAACGCCTCCCAGTACATCAGTACAATCAATTACTCACACCCATCCAGGTGGTCTGCCAATACTTTTTACGTGGTTCATGCAAGTTCGGTACCCAGTGTCGCAACGAGCATCCTCAGGGCGGTCAGGGTGACAGACGGCCACCTCTCAGTGGCCCGGGTATGTTATACCTGCCCTGTGTCGCGTTCATTCCTTATTGTTTTGTAGGTGCGACATGGACTCCTTCAAACCCTCCGAAGACCATTCCGTTTAGGCAAGCTACGTTTTAACTTTCACATGAGTATTGAGCTGACACCATCTTCACAGTCTCGAAACCATGACCAGAGATTTCGACGTCAGATCAGACAAACCGTCATGGTCACTGTCATCCTACGGACCCGCTAAAAACGAGAAAAATATTTTACCACCACTTGATGAATCACCTGAAGAGCTCCGTTTGAAAGCAGTCACGGCGATGCGTAACGGGAA